CCTCCCACCCGAGTCGTCGANATATCTCCATTCTGCCAAGAGGCTCAACTCCCGACAGGCAAGATGGGCTCTGTTCCTGGGAAGGTTCAACTTTGTCCTAACCTACCGCCCTGGTTCTCGGAATATAAAGCCAGACTCCTTATCTCGTCAGTTCTCTCCTGATGTCTGAGTCTCTGCCTGAACCCATCCTGCCTGCTACATGTGTGATTGACAGTCCAGCAAATTCATCCGAGGTTGCTCCATCCACTTCCCTGGTTGCATCTATTCTTTGGGAGATTGAAAGAGTGGTCCGTGAGGCTCAGCAAAACCAACCTGCCCCAGATAACTGTCCGCTTAACTCACTTTTTGTGCCGGAGTCGGTGCGAGCTCAGGTTCTCCAGTGGGGGCATAGTTCTAAACTTACGTGTCACCCTGGTTTCCACCGGACCTTAGCTTTTCTTAAACAGAGATTCTGGTGGCCATCTATGAGCAAGGACACTCGATCTTTTATTGCTGCCTGTACTACCTGTGCCCGAAGCAAGTCTAATCATCAGGCTCCCTCTGGTCTCCTCAACCCCTTACCTATTCCCAGCCGACCATGGTCCCATATAGCCATAGATTTTGTCACTGGACTCCCAAACTCTGATGGTAATACAGTTATTCTCACAATCGTGGACCGCTTCTCTAAGGCAGTGCATTTTATTTCCCTCCCCAAATTGCCAACTTCCACTGAAACTGCTAACCTTTTGGTTCTTCATGTATACAGGCTCCACGGCATACCTACCGATATTGTCTCAGACAGAGGGCCACAATTTACATCACGGGTATGGAGGGCATTTTGCCAGGCCCTGGGAACCTCCATCAGTCTTTCATCAGGGTACCACCCTCAATCTAATGGTCAGACAGAACGGACCAATCAGGACCTTGAGACAGCCTTGCGCAGCGTCACCGCCCGTAACCCAGCCACGTGGAGCACATATTTGCCCTGGATCGAATATGCCCACAACTCCCTTGTATCCTCTGCCACAGGTATGACTCCATTCATGGTGTCCTTGGGTTTTCCAACCTCCTCTCTTCCCAGATCAAGAGGAGGATGTGGCGGTTCCATCGGTCCAGGCTCATGTAAGGCGCTGTTGCCATGTTTGGAGGGCTGCTCGAGCTGCTCTGCAGCGTACGGCAACTCGCAATCAGCGATTCGCCGATAGACATCTGAAGCAATCTCCTCCCTACCAGCCTGGACAAAAGGTTTGGCTGTCAACCCGTGACCTCCCTCTGCAAGTGGAGTCTAAGAAACTGGCACCTAAGTTCATTGGCCCATATGTCATTGAAAGAGTGATAAATCCTGCTGTGGTGCGCCTCAAGTTGCCCTCCTCCCTGAATATTCATCCATCATTTCACGTGTCTCTACTCAAGCCAGTGTCATCCTGTCCTCTCAGCCCTCCAGCTGATCCCCCTCCTCCCACCCGAGTCGTCGATGGTTACCCGGCCTTTACTGTGAGTCGGATTCTTGATGTTCGGCGCCGTGGGAGGGGTTTTCAGTATCTGGTCGACTGGGAGGGTTACGGCCCAGAGGAGCGCTCCTGGATTCCCCGCAGCAATATCCTGGATAAGTCCCTCCTCCGGGACTTCTACAGGGCTTTCCCAGACAAGCCTGGTAAAATGTCTGGAGACGCCCGTTGGGGGGGGGGGGGTACTGTCATGGCTGGTGCTCCCCTCCCTGTGTGTGTGTGGGCGGAGTCTCCTGGTCCTGATTCATCGCACCTGCAAGCAATCAAGAGCCCACTACTTGACCCCTGCTCACCTGTGAGACCCTGCCAGATTGTTTCCTATCTTCACACGGTGAACCTCTTGGCTCCTAGATTCTACGTTTTTGCTGCTTGCCTTTTGCCGAACATTTTACTTACTTGCTGTTCTCTGCCCTCTGCCCTGCTCCAGCCCTGCTCCAGCCCTGCTCCTGCCCTGCTCCAGCCCTGCTCCAGCCCTGCTCCAGCCCTGTTTCTGTCCTGCCTCTGCCCTGCTCCAGCCCTGCCTCTGCCCTCATTTTGCTCTTTGTAAAATAAATTCTCCTTTTTCCATTTTTGTTTACCGGTCTGAAGTCCATTTTTGGGTCCCTCCATTGTTGCGCCGTAACATTTAATTCCGAATAATCATTAGAAGTGAGTGTTTACATGGTCTTTTTAAAGGAGAATTATTTTTTATTCTGAATTAAATTATTTTAAATCGGAATTAATTGGTAAGCGGGTACTTTTTAAATGTATTATTATTACGATGGCATATTATTAAGCTTTTTCCAAATCCCATAGGAAGAACAATAACGTCTTTCCCTTTGATAAAATTCACCAAACATTCTCTTTGTTCCGGCTTTAAATCCTCGATCTCGGGAATTGTTGCCAACACAGAATGTCTGTCTTCATCTACATCCATCTCGACAATTTGTTTACTGTTGTGCTGTTCCACAAAAGGGACCCAGACAGACGCTTGAGTTTGATGTCATGGCTTCACAGTTCTTCGCTGATTGGCCGATGCGCGGTGGTCTACAACTTCCGGGGTCCTTGTAAACTGTCTAGTGTATTCTGATTCCTGACCTCACAACTCGCTGCTGCTGCTCAGACATAAATCCTTCAACTGCAAGGTTGGTTTTACTTCTAAAATTATTCTATCGACACAAACATTTACATTGACAGTCTGGTGTAATAACAGATTTGCATCGAGTGTCCCTTTAAGTCGGGTCAGGCCTTCCCGAATTCGAGGAGAACCAAAGCGCAGCCAAAATGGGGCAAATTCTCCTGTAGTGTGTGGCAGCTTTAAGACACTTTCTGCAGCAGTGGGGTTTAAAAGAGGGTGTGACCAGGTGGTGTAAAATTATGAGTCACTGGCGTTGGGTTGGGTTTACGGGGGATTACTGTAATCCCCAAACTGAAGTCTTTCCCAATACAAAAGATGTTTCCAAAGAGTTACAAAAATAATGCTTTAAGTATAGGCGAGTTTCATTGTTGACAAAAGCGCGCGTTCCATGCTGGGAATTATTTTGGTCGGCGGCAAGAAACACAAATTCAACATGACGGACGGAGCGAGAAAGCACGTAAAGGGCATTGATCCCGGTTATTTATCCACTCTAACAGCAGAGGACCCAAGACCATTTGACCAGAAATTGGTCATAAGAATCGACGGACGCTAAATCACCCTTTTCAACCCCGACAAAAGGTGGACCAAACCAAATTTCTGGTCAGAATTGCCAACTACCTGGACAAATATTCACTTGGGCGATATCCACAATGACTTGGTGGAAACTCCTGGGCCATTCACAGCAGAAAAGGGCCACCATCGCCGCACGCGGCTTTAATTTTACTTTTACTCTTCATTTTTAAGCAGGTTCTTCTTTTTAGCAGATTTTTTTCATGTCATACCTTTACTTTTATTTGAGTAATCTTTTGCCCCTGTATCTGTACTTTTACTTAAGTAAAAAAACTGAATACTTCATCCACCACTGCTTTTAGTTCTGTTCACAATTTAAGACAGTGAAAATTAGACACAGTCCCTAGACCTAGTTTTGTTTTGGCATAGTCCTGGTCTGGTCTGGGTTTAGTCTTGATTTAGACCTGTTTTAGTGGTGTTTTAATCCCCTTTTAGTCTTGTTTTAGTCCTGTTTTAGTCCCATTGTTTTAGTCCCATTTTAGTCCTGTTTTAGTCCTAATTTAGACTTGTTTTAGTCCCGTTTTAGTGCCTTTTTAGTCCCATTATTTTATTCCTGTTTTAGTCCCATATAGTTCCAATGTTTTAGTCCCGTTTTAGTCTTGTTTTAGTTGTGTTTTAGTCCCATTGTTTTAGTTCCGTTTTAGTCTCATTTTAGTCATGGTTTAGTCATGTTTTAGTCCCGTTTTAGTCCTAATTTAGACCTGTTTTAGTCTAGTTTTAGTCCCATTTTATTTCCATTGTTTTAGTCCTGTTTAAGTCTCATTTTAGTCATGGTTTAATCTCATTTTAGTCATGTTTTAGTTCCATTTCAGTCTTGTTTTAGTCCCTTTTTAGTCCTGATTTAGACTTGTTTTGCACAGACACAGATGATTTAAAACCAATTATTTAAAATGTATTATTCATTTTTTATATTATAGCATCTTTTACTTAAGTAACAAAACTGAGTACTTCATCCAGCACTGCTTTTAGTTCTGCCGATCACATTTTAAGACAGTAAAAATGAAATAATAAGACGAGTGTGTTTGTCCAGGGCGGAAGGCAGTTCTCTGTTTGAAGTTGGCGTTGTGTAGAATTAAGTAGGACAAAATAAATGCTCTGTTTGCTTGAGATGGGTTGAATATTTGAACAGAATTGTGTGAAAACTGGTCCGACAGGTTTTCAATGGGAGATGTACAAGGATATGGAATTAATGATGATCCTGAATCTCATTTTTTATTCAATTCCACTTTATTAAAACACTATTGGAACTGAAATTTTGGTAGTTTTCAGATTCTATAATATAATAATGTCGTACTCCCTGATGGAGAAGGGGGAAGAGACAGACTTCCTTATTAATAACATTGTACTTTGTCATAAAATATATATATATAAAAAATGTGTGTGTGTGTGTGTATATATATATATATATATATATATATACACACATATATATTCACAAATCTTTAATGTAATCTTTTCGATCGGTGACTAAACCCATTAGCTTGCAATGTTACAACACAAACATTTAGTAAATTATTAGTATTACCAAGCAGCAGCACTTTGCATTTATTTTATGTTCTCATTTGTATAATGTTAAAATTAATAGTTATTTTAATAAACACAAATAAATCTCAAAACCGAGATACGTACCAAGCCGTAATGTTTGTGAATTGTTACACCCGTAATATTTATATAGAATTGTTTTTTTTAAAGGTGCACTGTGTAACTTTTCTGATTTGACTAGAATGTTCCACAGTATGGCATTAAACTTATATATTAAATCCCTGATCATTATAATGTAGGTTCGGAATATCACAGTTATTTTTTTCCACGAATGTCTTGCAGACGAACCAGAACCACGGTTACGTAACATCGTCTGTGGGCAAACAAACGAGGCGGGTCGGGCGTGCCAGGCTATTTAAGAAATATGACACGATTCACTCTGCACACATCCTCAACCTCTGCACAACCGAAAACTCTCCAAACCAAGTGAGTGTTTTATCTGAGATTTTCTGCCAAATTTTATAGATTTTTCTTCTGTTTATTAACTTTTTTTGTAGAAGATTCATATTTCATTGTATTTAGTTTAGTCACGGGCTATTACTTTCTACATTAAATTATAATTATTTTACTAAAATTGCTATATTTTCTATTTTAAAATCCTCAAAAGTGCCACACTTTACTTTGTTTGTATAGTTGTAGGGAGTATTATCTGTTACATAAGGAGTTGTTGCATAGCTGTAGGGAATATTATCTGTTCCATAAGGGACAGTTGTTGCAAAGTTCTTGTACAGTTGTAAGGAGTATTATCTGTGACGTAAGGGTGCGCAGATGTACAGTTGTAGGGAGTATTATCTATTACATAAGGATCGGTTGTACAATTGTAGGGAGTATTATCTGTGACATAAGGGTGAGTTGTACAGTTGTAAGGAGTATTATCTGTGATATAAGTTTGAATTGTTGCACAGTTGTAGGGAGTATTATCTGTTATATAAAGGTGAGTTGTTGTACAGTTGTAGGGAGTATTATCTGTTATATAAGGGTGAATTGTTGCACAGTTGTAGGGAGTATTACCTGTTACATATAGGTCAGTTTTTGCACAGTTGTACAGTTGTAGGGAGTATTATCTGTTACATCAGGGTGAGTTGTTGCTTAGTTGTAGGGAGTATTATCTGTTACATAAGGGTGAGTTGTTGTACAGGTTGTAGGGAGTATTATTTGTTACATAAGGATCAGTTGTACAATTGTAGGGAGTATTATCTGTTACATAAGGAGTTGTTGCATAGCTGTAGGGAGTATTATCTGTTCCATAAGGGACAGTTGTTGCAAAGTTCTTGTACAGTTGTAAGGAGTATTATCTGTTACATAAGGATCGGTTGTACAATTGTAGGGAGTATTATCTGTTGACATAAGAGTGAGTTGTACAGTTGTAGGGAGCATTATCTGTTGATATAAGGGTGAGTTCTTGTACAGTTGTAAGGAGTATTATCTGTGATATAAGTTTGAATTGTTGCACAGTTGTAGGGAGTATTACCTGTTACATATAGGTCAGTTTTTGCACAGTTGTACAGTTGTAGGGAGTATTATCTGTTACATCAGGGTGAGTTGTTGCATAGTTGTAGGGAGTATTATCTGTTACATAAGGGTGAGTTGTTGTACAGGTTGTAGGGAGTATTATTTGTTACATATGAGTGAGTTGTACGGTTGTAGGGAGTATTATAGTATGAATGTCAGCCTGTATCTCTTAGTTCTACATTAATGACTTCGCAATCTTTATTTTCACATCAGAGGACCCGTCATGGCGAAGCTTCCCCAGGCGATGGCGATGATCCGGTGTGTGTTTGACCAGTACTCACAAAAAAAGAAAACCCTGAGCAAACAGCAGGTGGCCGAACTTCTGCGCTCTGAGTTTGGACTGGAGCCCGGGGTGAGAATTCTGTTTTTATATCAAGTACTGTGGGATAAGATCGATTTATTTTTTTTTTTAGCTTTCTACCATATTTTAATGCCATTCCCTCATCCAAAACATCCCCGAAGAGGTTTTAGAGTCATCCATGCATGTTTGAGTGATTTAGTGATCTCTCCTGGACCGTATTCAATCCCTATTGGCGGTTAGCACGACATTTCTCCATAAATATACAAAAACACAGCACAAAACTTTACACTACAGCTTCACAAACCTGACGCAATGTAAAGTATTTTCATTTTCAGAGAGCAAAGGGAGTATTATCTGTTATATAAAGGTTAGTTATTGTACAGTTGTAGGGAGTATTATCTGTGACATAAGGGGCAGTTGTTGTACAGTTGTAGGGAGTATTATCTGTGACATAAGGATGATTTGTTGCACAGTTGTAGGGAATATTATCTGTGACATAAGGGGCAGTTGTTGTACAGTTGTAGGGAGTATTATCTGTTACATAAGGGTGAGTTATTGTACAGTTGTAGGGAATATTATTGTTCTTTTGAGTTTAAATCAAGAACGAAAAACAATAAAATGTGAAAACAGTTTATTTTATTATTCCGTTTTAGTGTCAAAAAACAAACAAACAAAAAAAACAGATTCGACCTCTATTTCCAATATTTAATTTAATGTTTATTTCAAATAACACCAATCAAAAAAGTCTTGGTGCCTATTTCAATTTTGATATTTTTATTTTATTCTGCTAGAAGAGAACAAAATATTAAAATTGCAAAATTCAACTAGGAGCGATGACTGTTTTTTGACTGGTTGAAATCAGTTTTTTTGTTTGACACTAAAACGGAATAATGAAATAACAAACTGTTTTTCCATTTTATTGTTTTTCGTTCTTAATTGAAATTCAAACGAACGAATAGTACACGGAGCTCGGTGCCTATTTTAATTTTGATATTTTATTCTCTCTTTATTTCACCCGGACGTTCTGCTGCTAGAAGAGAATATTTTTTTTGTGTGTTATTTGAAATAAACTTTAAATTAAATATTGAAAATAGAGGTTGAAATCAGTTTTTTGTTTGACACTAAAATGGAAAAATTTAATAACAATTATTGTTTTTCGTTCTTACTTGAAACTCAAAAGAACGAATGATACACGGCAGAGGTGGGACCAAGTCGTTGTTTTGCGAGTCTCAAGTAAGTCTCAAGTCTTTGACCTCAAGTCCGAGTCAAGTCACAAGTCAAAGACGGGCAAGTCCAAGTCGAGTCTCAAGTCACTGGCCCATAAGTCCAAGTCAAGTCCAAGTCAAGTCTTGAGTCACTGCCCCTTAAGTCCAAGTCAAGTCCAAGTCGAGTCCAGGTTGTCTGCTTTGAGCTTCAAGTCATTTCAAGTCTTTAAAACAAAGTACCACATATAGCTTTGTTTTTTGCAATTTATATGAATTTTTAAGATTAATTGTACTTAAAGGTTGTATGGAGGATTTTTTTTGGTTTCAAATTGTCAATGATAGATTATAGAGATGCAGTAGCCTTGTAATTATGATGACCAAAAAAAAGAGAATAAAAATTCATCAACTCTGGACGTGGTGGGGCTAAACATTTGCCAATAGATAACGACACTGCCTCGTTATCTGTTAGCTGACAGGCTGTCAATCAAACTCCCTACGTTTCTAGTGTAACTGACTTGCCTGCGCCGCCGGTACGTGGTTTACGTACGACTGTCACGCAGTCCACAGACGCAAGACGCACAGACGCTGTTTACTCCACCAACGCAACAGTTCTTAGTGGCTTTTTTTTACCTATATCTTCCTCGCAGTTCGCACAAAGTTTGTTGCAATGGCGACAAGAATCCAGGAGCAGTTCGCCGCAAAAGAAAGTCCGTTTTTGAGGTCGCTGAAAGAAGAAGACAAGGGGAAAAGCAGCGAAGACAAACTAAGGTGATTCTTGAAGATTCATTCCAGCGATGGCGCAACTGAAGCAGACGCAGGGTCTAAAGACTGACGCATTGGTCGCCAAAATTACTCCTGGACAGGTCACTTCTGCTTATTATGAAAACGTACTTTATTTCCAAGAGCTAGTCAAACGTTTTTCAGGACACGAAAGCGATATCCTATGTCTGAAAACGTAATTTTCAAGGCAAAGAAAAGAGTCCGCTTGCTGCTGCGTGTTGTAGCTAGTTCATTCGCACTGAATCTCCGCGCAACCTTCTCTGCACCCCTTTCCTCCTCTCCCCGCTGCCCGATCCGCTCTTCCCCCTGCTCCTCACTTCTCCGGGCACGGAATCTCCGCGCACTGCTCCTCTCCTGCTCCCTGCTCCGCTCTTCTCCCTGCTCCTCACTTCTCGTCCGCGCACGAAATGTCCGCACACCCGCTCCCCCCGCTCCTCACTTCTCCGTCTTGCCTAACCAACACTGTAGTTAGTTGTTTACAAGTCATGTGCAGCGCACCGGCTGTAAACAAACCTGTTTCTGGCGTAACGAGGAGGCGGGAGGAGGTGTTTCTACGTAGGAGCTGTGGGGGAGGGGAGGTGGTTTCACGCATGCGCAACATTTGAAAAAGGACAAACAGTCGCTGGATTTCTCGTTCCTTGGAAAATCCTCTATACAACCTTTAAAATAAATTCATAGTATATTTATATCCACGTATTTATATAAACCTGCAGTATCTCTTTTTTATGTAAGAGTTGTAGAAATGTTAATTGTTCCTTTTTAAATGTCTTGACAAGATATTAATGTGAATCATTACAGTCAGAATAGAACAAATTCAGAATTAAAAGTGCTTCTCAAGTCACAGGTCTCAAGTCCAAGTCGAGTCCCAAGTCTTAGTCCATTTTATCAAGTTTTCAAGTCTCGAGTCCAGGTCACAACTTGCAAGTGCCCACCTCTGATTCACAGACTCTTCCCTTTCACAAAAAAAGTAGTTGAGTATTTTTTGTTCAGGCTCTTATAAACTCATCATGGTGAATAATTAGAACGCTCTGAATGCACGAGGGAAGTGAGTTTAAACTGTGTCACATGAACTACTCCTGACTGTTACCGAAAATATAACACCGAGGACAAACTATTCTTGGGTTTGGTTCGATCTAGTAATTGTGTCGGCTCCACCTACAGCGTTTCCTAGAAAGTGTTTGTGGACAGTTGTGTTTCATCTTTCAGGTTGTAGCTTGAGTTTCCTGGTAATGGTTTGTAGGTGCGGTGGGTGTGGTTCTGTCTATTTAAACAACCGCAATAATGGTTTGTGGTTTTAGATTCCAGTGCAGGGTTGGGAATCTGTGTATCGTGTGTTCATTTGTTTTTCAAAATAAAACCAAAATGAAAAAAACAGATAATGATTTGTTTTTTCTGTTTTTGATTTTGTGTTTAAATGAAAAATGAAAAAAAAAAAAAAAAACGGATAACGGCCATTTTCTGTTTACGTGACTTCTGTGACTGAGAT